TATTTCCCATTGTGTTGGTAAATAGTGATGAGCATCACTACTGCATGGATTCGAATGGTCGGACTGCAATGCACATTCGCGTTGCGGTGATAGGTAAACAGTGTAGGATCTTTGATTTTTGCGTACAGTAACCAAAAACTAATGACGAAATGCGAACGGCTTTTTTCAAGTTAGGACTAGACCTCAACTGACCAGATGCGTCACAAGACATACGACCTAGGGAATGAGCACCAATGACGAGCCCCAGTAGGGCGAAACGCGTCTTCTGCTTTTCCGGACTAGGCTGTGCTATGTAGCTTGTGAACTACTGGGATGAAAATCTCAACAAAATTATAACCAAAATCCTGATACTTACGAGGAACCTACGATATCAGTGATGGTTTACTTTCGTCTCCCTGCACAACATGCAGAAATGTTTGTGTAATACCGTTTTACACATCTTAAGTAGTGCAGACAGCTTGAAACTAGCTCTCGGTTGTAGGCTTATTTCCAACACGATCAATACATGTTCGCAACCATGCATTACAGAATGAGATTGTCTCTGATAGAGGATTGTTTTCAGGGATTTGAATGTCACACTGTCATCATTAACCTGATTCCGCACTGGTAATGAGAACTTCCGATAACATCAGTACATCAGCCGAACTGGAAACTACAGTAATAATAATAATGATAATTGTGATAATAATAGGAATAGTAATGTGTCAGTTGTATGTCGTAACGGCGCTTCGCTGTCGCGCGACCATCACCAGTCGTGCTCTGGCTGAGTAGAAGGCGAAGGCGCCCACCTTTACTCGGATTCGAACCGGGGACATAATGGTTGCAAACCAGGTGCGTAGACCACTCGGCCACCGACCGACGACAAATAAAGTATCGTCGACGCTCACGATGATGATGCCATAGTAGTTCGGATTGGGATGAAAAGTTGGTCCTGGAGCCTCTCTACGAGGACGGTGATATGCAATTAACCATGCTCTGATGATACAATCTGAAGAGTGGGACTTCTGAAAGGACTTCATTAAATATATGGAAATCTAGCAATTTCCATAAGTCCTTACTAAACAGACCGACTTACTCCGAAAGGACCTGAGACTAACGCGTTTCCTTAGTTTTTTGAGTTGGCTTAATCATGATTAGTAACATCAGGTTCAGGTTGATGCTATTGACAGAAGTCTGTGTGCTTTGTTCAGATAGCAAAATTGTCAACTTACCAAATGGCGATTTACACAGAGTAGTCTGCTACGTGAGATGTGTTGCCGTAAGAAAAATGCTTCACAAGATAATCGTAAGGTTCTGTTACAAGATAATCCGGAAACTTGGATTTACCTTGACTTATATAGGCGGGTAATCAGGTACTGGTAGCTCCCTATCTTTATGATAAAACAGACCAGTTGGCCAGTATGCCATCGTGCCAGAATTTGAGACAGATAACTTTTGCATGACATATACCATACGAGGAAGTGGCTGTCTTTCTCAATAGTAAAATCTGTCTACTACCCACCACCTCATCTATGCTGGCTCCAGTAGACAGTTGGTCGTTGCTGGAGGGAACGGGGTGCGCGCTCCTTGTGGCCGTGCTAAGCTCGAAGATTGGTTCCATGCACTTAGTGAGGAGCGGACTACGGTCCAGCCACCGCATTATGTGCGATTGATTCCCAAATACAGCGTGCTTTTGGTTGACTGTGGAGGATTGTGGGCCGGCTCCGTTGACGAAACGTGGCTCCCATCCACATGTCACTCGGTCTTACCCATTCGGGTTTACACTGCATATTGGGTGCGTGCATGGAGATGTGGGTGGTGCAGCACAAGCCCCCCATGGTCCCTGTGGCTGGCCACAGTGACAGGCAGATCCGAAACCGGATGCAGTCAACCATATGGTTGTTTGAACTGTGCAGTCTAAAAGCTGCAGCCATTCCTCATCATCACAGTTTGTTGTCTTATTGGCATCATGAGTAAGTCGTGATGTGAATCAGCATAAATCATTTAGTGGATACAATCCGGCGTCGATGACTGAAGTTATCGTGAAAGTCTCCCGACTAATCGTGGTTACTTAGCAATACGCTGATACGCAGCTAAGCCCCGTAATGCGTGAGTGAGCATGAAGCTGATACTATTGTGCCAGTGTATTATGTGACATCGTCACTGGGCACTTATGCGCTTCTTGTCCTGATTGGTCGGCCAGCTGTTCAGCTTCTGAATTGGCCTCTTCATGCCCCATGACTCTTACCCCTTTGCTTCGGCGACCGAAACTGCTGTTCGGTCTGTTCGTCTGGTAACCACTACCACTTGGGTTACTTGAATATCTTACCGAGCTGTCTCTCGTAAACTTACTTATATGACATCTACTTAAACGTATTCGTCGATTGACTCGGCTATGAAATGTCACATTTGAAATTTTATACGTTCCGGAACGAAAGAGCAGTTTTTGTGACCCTCATGTTTCGACATCAGTAAACATGAGTTATGCCTTCCCATTGTTTTCTTGTATTCGTGCTCAGTGCGAAACTTTTAGCCTCGCTTTTTTCAGAGTAGTGTTTGTTGTTATCTGCAAAATGACCATGTAACCGGCACGTTTGATATCAGGACCGAGCGCCAGAAAACCACACAACTTTCGCCACCTGCTGAGATTCCGGGCACTAACCAGTTATTTACACATGTGCTTAGCCATGCGAAAATCTATGATTTCATTGCAATTTACAACACGGGTATCTATATTTTATTCTGGATTATCTTATCTGACATGTGCGTCTACTAACTATTGTGTCACTCCTAATTAAAAGTATCAGCCGTGCGCCGGTATGCAGTACCGACGCTTCGCTGCCGCGCAGCCACCACCAGTCGCACGTGGGCTAAGAATCCTGGGAGGGTCGCAGGCTCGAACACACGCCCGCGGATTACAAGGCAGGTCTGCGTTCCTCAAGACTACAGGGCCAGCAATGCCTTTCAGGGTTTCATTCCAACACCGCTGTTGGATTCGTTGGCTCACACATTGTGCTACTTGTCAAGGTGTCACACTACATGCCGACTTGATCCGTTTCCCATCCACAGGGACGCACCTCCTCTTGTTATTCCCTCCATCCCACAGTAGCCCCGATACGCTACTCCCACCACCTTTCGTGCGCTGTATAGCGAACCAATCGGGCAAGGTTATCGGACTCAAATAAAGGACCGTTGGATTCCGCTCGCGAACTCTGTTTTTGTGATCTTGTATAATGGCAAGTACAGTGCTTTGCAATCTTTGTGTACTTTGTAAAGTTCAGGTTGTCTCAGAACTGAACGGGAACTGTTGAAGTAAATATATATATATATATATATATATATATATGCCGCACATAGCGTTTTATTTGAACAGTAACTTAGGTAAATTTTTGGCTTTTTTGTATTGGATCCGGGAGTCTCTATGAGTTACTCAATACCAAGCGATTTTGTCTCTTTCATTTATCGCATTCATCATCAATAGACGATTTAGACGCTTGTGTTTCATCAGATATCGACTGAACTAGATTGGCTATGTCCCAATAGCCAGTTTTCATATAGTTTAATGCGACTACTGGCCCAAGGCATATCGTCACCTCGTGGTTTTAAAAATATTTGTCTAATTCTGTGGATACTCACATTATGAATGCATGCTGCTCAACCTGGACACAATGAGGCAGTTTCTGAGAGTTAAATTTTTAACCATGTTGGACCAGTCTTTCGTTAGTTAAATGTATTCAAGAAATACAACTGGAATAAGTCAAGCAAACTTCATATGGTCTATTCATGCACGTAAGCGGCATCTTTGTGTACTTCGTAACGCTGGGGACTAGAGTGTGGTGCTGAGGGAATATTAGAAGATTTCAGGAAATGTAATTGCATAATCCCCATAGCGAATGGTAATTGTGTACAGGAGTCAGCGAAGGAAGCGCCATCAACAACAATATAAGCAGTACACGCACTTCATTAATTCTAAAGGACACTTCGCTGCCTTACAATTATGATGGGTTGAGGAAAGTAGGAGAGTATGAGGGTAGAAGCGATACCTTGTACGAAACCTAATTGCCGTAAGTAAACTTTCAGGTATAAGATACCTACACTGTATGTCACTAACATTCTGCGTCAAGGTGCTTGCAATTTCGTAACAACACAAGCTCACAAGCAGTTGAACTTCGTGTGAAACAAAGGTGGCTTTGGCAGGATAGCTGCTTTAGGGCTTTCAGTGCCTCGAGTCAGAATCAGCCATTACGCCCCAGATGATACACCATCAGCTACAAAAACAGGCAACTCGACTAGGACACAACAGTAAACGCGTCACTGTTTTCACCGAGAAGTTAATCAAAAGGAGGTAGCGTAGTTTCCATACTGGAAAGCGAGACGAACCAACAGTACCCATTTTAATAGTCTTTGATTTCCTTTCTCACCGTCATATCAACTTTTGCCCATCTCGAGTCTTGCATCATCTAACATTCAACAACCAAACCAAATCATTTCTGGTTAAGCGAGTACCTGGCCAAGGGGAACCTGCCTGAGCTAAAACCTCTTATTCGATATGATTTGTTGTTCTAAGGAACTAGCCTAACTATCAGTGTCTGGTGTCCGTCCATGCATATTATCGTTGCGGATACACCGGTGCCATCCAATACCAGAAGGGAATTTCCACGAAATCAATGTAATTTCATGGCATGAATCCTGGTTCACTTGGAGTGTCATTATTCTTCTGCTGTCTGACAGATATACACATGAAGTTAAGCCATACTTTTGACGTAATATACGGGATGACGTTTTAGCAACAGTCAGGGGCCTATGTACCGTCAAAGTAATTGTCTCCCGGACTTACTCGCTTACAATGCAACATGCACGTTAGCAGTTAAAACTTGTGGCGATAGATTATGAAATACAGTGCAACTATGGCAGTTCCCGAAACTAAGTACAGACGAGTAAATATCGGGACATTGCAATATTTCTACATTCCTCTTCCAAAAAAATGACATGGTATTGCATGCAGAGGAATAGCGTCTCACCTTTTGATATTCGCGAATCGATCGAAACACTTGTGGCCGCATGTGCTTACCAAAATAGAATATCCAATCGGACGATTCTGGGGATGTGAAGAGAGACGGAAATTAGAAGTAATCACTGGCATCTAGCTGCGGAGTTACGATGTCCTCGGAGGCGTAAACATTGGTTATTACTTTACATTGGCTTCGACGAATTACAAATGTTTCTGACTTAGTCTTTACAGTTCATAAAGCAATTTGATTGTCTTGGTTTGGATGTAGTTATTAATACAAGCACCAGCGCATGTCTACGAAGAAAAATTCCATCTAACAGTGGTAATAGAAACCAACATTCATACAGCGTCAGTCAAATTACCGTTTCGTCCCAACTAGTGGTCAATCAGGTAGTAGTGCGGCACAGATTAGGTGGTTTTACGAGTTCAGTTCCTGGAAGTTGCTGTACCCACGCAGAAGACTCTCACCCCAAATCCAGTTGAAGACGTTGGAATTAGCGATCCACTGAATTCGCCTCTGAGTTTATTTATCTGTTGTTTTCCATAACATTGTCAGTATTCCGTCGCTTATGTCTAGTGCTAGGTGAAATTAAAGGTTGGTTCACAGAACTAGAAGTAGTATAAACTGTATGTTGAAACATTATTAGTTGATGCCGTCTGTATTTTTCACAACGGACTACCTTGCTGAACCCAGGTTCATTATGACGCCTGTTGAATAGAGGTTCGGTCATGGGGACACTTGAGCACACTCCAATTACAGCTACCAAAGAACGTAAGACAGGAAATGTTTTAAACATCTATCACGTGGTTGTAAAAGATTAACAAGATTTGTATGCTGCTGTAATTTTTTGTATGAAAATGGTTCTGCCGCCATCCTAGACTGCATTTAACCCTTGAATATGACGTGAAATGTTATCATCTGGCAACTACGGCACTGCCTCTATAACATCTTTAAATTTTGGACTGATTCTTTGGACTGATTCTTAAGCAAGTCTCATTTTATGTTGCAACTATAATGGCTACATCAAACTTGTCTTTTGGGGAGACTGTTATCCGCTTCACCAGCGAAATAGTCTAAACCACCTAGGAATAAGGTATCTCAGTGTGTGAAGGTATCGAAAGTAGGTGCTTCATTCACTAAGAAACTGGAGTAGATCTTTGTGAAAAATTATCATAGACTAAAATTCCATCAGACTTCTAATTTATATAGGTTCTTAATTCACATCTGAGCCCTATCCGGTTTCAGATTTATGTTGGCTTATGTTCTTCAGAAAACTGTCTATACCACGGATGCACCAAATGGTTATAGCACTATAATGCACCTATCGGAGGCAATTGGCCTGCACAAACAATTGAGTGTAACAAAACTTTACCCAGACAACCAACTGAATGATCCATGGTGACTGAATGGATGTGTTTGAAACGACGAGGTGCTTGGGGACTGCAAACTCCTCAGCACGCATTTGTCAAAACCTGAGTTATTACCTCCTTTTAGTAACCCACTGCTGGATTTGGATGGAGCATCAAATGAGTCCAGGCTCAGTCAGTATCATAGGTCGCTTATGAAATAAATACAATTGATCATTCCAGAACATCAGAGACACTTCCTGTCATGCATAGCTGCCATAAAGAAAGTTTGGTATATTCCTGGTTGCAAGCGAGGCACACACTCGCAGCGAGACCCATTCTATTGAGGAGTACTGACTAAGAAGCGGGAGATCTAGGTCTGATATGACCTTGGCGAAATGCATCTCCGGGTGTTTGAGGGAACGTATTCAAATTAAAAACCGACATGCAGTTTCAGTAGCTCAGCTATCTTTCATAAGCACTAAAGCGAGGCATAAAAGTCTACAAATTTGTCAAAAAATAGCGTTCTTTCCATTTGTTTGGAGTCCGCATTCTCTAGCATGTATGCTGGAAAACTATCAAGGAGCCATAAAGAAGTGCTTCGTTAGAGTCTGGGACCCGTTGTCTGTTGTTTTGTTGGCTGATGGAGGCAAAATGGAACCCATGATCGCAGATATAATTTTTTGGGCGTCCATAATCTTTTCTTGACTTCGGACGATTTTTAGAGTACCACAGTGTGATTCAACTATTTTTTACTCCCGTGCTACTTAGGTCGTTCAAAACAAACCTGATTCAGCCCCTGACAGCTGGGTATACCCCAGTAGTATAGCAATGGGAGATGGATGCGCGTTCTTGAACTCACCTATTGTTTCCAAATCTTCTGACGTCGAGGTCACTGGAATGCAAGTTGTGAACTCGCATTAAAACAAAATTATTATGCTAAAACATCTTTTCAGTTCTAATAGATGGCTGGTTACAAATTCGTCTAGTAAACAAAAGCTGAAGTGACTGCTTAACTGAGATCTCCCAAAATCCCATGTGAAAAAAATCCATCGTAAAGGTGTGCACTGATGACAACTTTTAATAGACACTAAAAATGGGTCGGAACAGTCAAAAGTAATAGACAGTGTAATGCCAAATATTTCTGTGGTCTAGGTTCACAGCGCTCTAGCTTAAAATTATTCATTCTATTCAAGGGCATATTGTCGCTGCTCCTAGTATGATGTGATACCGTTTTTGTGCGACCTTACAGCAACTGTAGATGTTCTTATGTTCAGCTGCACCTACAACGTGGCCTACACTTCTGTCCTCGTAGCTTTCTTCGCTATCGGTGCCAAAGTATGTGGCAGAAATCGCAACCAACTCACGCCTGGATACTCGAAACCCGCTTCTCAGCAGCGCCTGTTTCACAACGATCGGTGTAAGTAGGCTGGCTCTCCAGCGCAACAATCTGCGGAACTCCCATGGTAGTGATTCAACTGAAAAGTAGAGCAATGCAAGTAGGTCATATTACCCAAGGGTACAGGTGGCAGCTCAGTCCCGTTTGTGTGGTATATACAAACAGATGTTATATCAGCTGAGAAGCTACTCACTGTAGCATTACAATGTAGTCAAGTGGAAGTTTTTCCCAAGTACTGTGGTCTGTTTCGGCCTAGGCACAAATATTCCAAGTGGCCTGATTCCACAACATTACATGAATTGAACGTTGATGGTGTTTTCATATGGTAACGCTCAGTACGGAAAAGTTGCATCAGTATATTAAAGTAGAAAAACGACTGGGTTTCATCATAACTGGATTCAAGTGATGGATTTAGAAATTGGGATGTTCATCGAAAACAAAACTAGCTTTGCTTATCCAACTGAAATGCTCATAATGCATTTTACAATACGCCATAACTACAGGCAACCGTTTAACTAAAAACAAGCTACTGTTTAGGTTCGAGTAGACAGTGATCATCCGAAATGGTCAGTGACGATGTATCGTATTTACTGAGATTCACGGAGCAGGGGATCAAAGCGGAGGGGGTCAGATTACCTTCGGGATCGTAAATGATGATGCAGAGTTAGATCAAACTGTGCTTGACACCCGTGAACCAATTTGAACTAGGTCGTAGAAAGCCGGCTTATGGCAAGCAAAAGATATTGAGTGAGAGTGAGTCTTTGATGCTGCTAGTTCCACTGAGAGCGTTAGCTGTTTGTTAATCGTCTATGGGAGACTGCAACTGTTGCCACACAAAGTATCTTTGCGCTATATTCCGGTAGGTTTAGCTGTGACCGTCTCGTACAGGGCATAAGCGATATACTTTCCTCTTCGGTATACTTAATAAGGGTGGAGGCGAAACTTCTACAAGGTTGGCGACCGTTCGTGTTGTTCGAACGGAAAATGAATGAAAAGCGGAGTGACTGAGTAGAAGGAGGAGAACATGGACAACTTTCTAATAGAAACTAGCGTTTGCAATTTCTCATTATGTTTACGGCGAATCAATGAGTACTGTCCTTCATGTGAAATCGATTCAAGGGGATAAGGTCCCCTTGGCAACATGCTGAAATATTTGAATATTGACCCTTAGACGGAACCGTTAATGGGAGTTAATATAAAAGACAAACCTATTAATTCGTACAACCCACAGATTAGACCTACGCCTTCAGACCCAAGAATGAATGACAATGTATTAGTGACATTTCCTTGATTGCTAAAATCCTAAGCATTGACAATGTATGATGAGGTCGCCTGAATGCACTGACAGTGTTTTTAAGCAGGAGTCCGAAATCAGCTTATGACAAAATGAAAACTGTTTTTCAACTTCAAATCATAACATGTCTCCGACATTCTAGGCTGTCCATTGAACAACCTCCAATCACCAGACTCACATTTATGTCCTTCCTCAACGAATCTTAATACAGGAGGGACATTTGGAAACAAAGAAGCAATAAGAGCTGGGTGGATTGTTTTCGTCGCACCCTTGTCTTCTTTCTCTACTGCAGCTCTCCGTCGCTGTTGCATCAGTTCCTTACAGGAGATGCCTGATTCATTTTGTGTCCCAGGCTTCTGGGACAATGTTGCTTCAACGGTAGAACACTCAGTAGCATCAATTTTTGACATGCATGTAGTATCTCCCAAAACGTGTAATTCAGAAGACTTCTCGATTGTCAGATCCCGGTGCTCTACAGACTGGTTTCCCGTAAAACATCGTGCGGTCGATTTCGTAGCTCCGTCTTTTCGTTCGACATCGCTTGTCTTATCCAGTTGGTAGGGCATAACTCCATCATCGGATGTGTCTCCTTGTGGTCTACTCGGTGGTACTGTATGTGCTCTAGTGACATTAGCTGAAACGCCTGAGGGTAGCTCCGGGCTAACTGCGTAAGATGAAGAAAACGGGACTGGTGCACATACGTTGTGTTTACGATTAATGTGAGAACAAGCTTGTATACAAGCATTATGGCATGCCAGGAAATAAAATTATCTCTAACCGGCCTAGTTCCTAGCGACCAGGAGCCAAGGGTGAAAAAGTTGACCCTTGGTTTTATCACAAAATACCTTAGTAGACTTACCCAACAGCTAAAGCATCTATGCAGGATTTGAACTCTAGGGCGCATACAACCTATCATACGAAACTGCTCAAAATCGTAAAAATGGTGAAAGCTTCTTAACTAAAGTGATGGAAAATGCATTCCCGTTTAACATAGTTAAAGTAAATAAGCCAGTGGAGCATGCCAAGCGTCGTTCACGTGAGTGAACACCAAATCTCCATGGAACGGTAAACAATCAATGGTTGAATATTGTCATTAAAATGGCCTGTTGCTCCAAGTTATGGAAAAATTGTGCGGTAATCTGCAACTATAAGTAAACGCAGCCTTGCAAGATTATTCAAAAAGTTTAATTCTGGTTGCAGGTCAATGTACATGAAGAAAGAGTTCTGAATTTGTGCTTATGGGGTTGAAGGTGTAGTTCTAAATATTACCGCAGTTGGGCATACATGAACTACTCCAATGGATCCTAGTCTTCAAAATCTCACATCACGGATCTCATACTATCGGGACTTCTGGGGACAGAAGTCAGTGGTGTTAGGCCGTCATGGATACATACAGCTGCAAAAGTAAAACCTGTATCGTAGCTGCATTTGATTAGCTTTTGAGATGTGCATGACTGGTTGCAATAGCTTTCACCTGGGCACGGTTTTTTCTAGGACTTAGAACTACGAACCAGACCAGTATATCCAAGTGTTAATGGGTATAAAGTGAACATAATGATGTGCGTACACCGAGACGTAAAAGCAAAGGATGATGAGATGAACATTTCGCAATAGCTGAACGACCTATTTCACCGACACCAGCTTCCAGCATCTCATGGTACTATCGACTTGGAAGATGCACCACTGTCCACGAAACAACGACAAATAAAACACATTAAAAGAAAGGAGAGGCGAATCATTCATCGAACCTTACCGTGTGTGTTGCTCGGGTATCGGCAGTCAGTTGAAAGCAAAGGTGACAGGGAATCGCGCAAATGCAAGTAATATCTGATGCGGTGTCCCTTAAAAACTGACAGGTAATGTGAAATATTTTGAGTTGTCCGCCACCCTCCAATCGTGGCAAGTACTATTCAACAAATAGCTACCATATTAGTGCTATGAAAATAGCAATGTAATAGCTATCATAAAAATAATGAGAAGTGGACGGCAAGTTTAACAACATTTCTCGCGCTATTACTGGCAAGTTGGCTGCGGTTTTGCGAAGTAGTTCTCTCATACCCACCTGATGCTTTGTTTGCCGGTGTAACAGACTGGTCGTTCACTTTTCGAAGTCGAGAACCGTATGCTGGAGTGCAGGGAGATTTAGAACTCGATGATGAAGTAAAGATCCGCATATGTGGTTCATTCAAGGGCACGGACTTCGCGGTAGATTGTATAATGTCGTCAACAGTAGGTGGAGAGTGCTGCAAAAGTTTATTAACTGTAAGCAGCTCCCCATCACTCAGTTCTTGCATGGAATCAGAGTAGCTTGCATCGCTGGTAGAAGCGATGGCTTCTTCGTTCATTTGATATTCATAATTTTCGAACAGTGTTACGTCACTTCGAACAGAGCTTGTGACATCTGATTTGCTTTCCGCGACATCCAACTGTTCACCTGGGCGTTCCACTTTTCTTGACAACTCATCAAGTGCTTCATCGTTGTCGGTGCCAGACACACTATCAAGTTTAACTAGTTTTGATGGACTGGAGATTTTCAAATTATGATCAATGCCAACGCCGTCCTGGTTTTGTTCTAGCTGAAGTAAAAAGGTAGTGTATTCAAACCGAGTTTTATGCTGTTTGTCTTTAGAGTGAAATTCATGATCGGTTGATGAAGATTATAAAGTATACTAGTTGAACATAATGTCTATTAACGTGTTGGCATGTGACACATATTGAGACTTAGTAAAAGAACCTTTCACCTGTTTATCTTGTTGGGAATATTTCCTCGCTTCTTTCGGCAAAATCTTCTTGCCTTTCAGAACTTGGTAGAGGACAGCAGAATACTAGATAAAACACAAGGGGAAAATAAGAAGGATAATGGTTTATTAACTAACCAAAGTATCCATTAATTCAACGCATCATACAAGTTAATCGCTGAGTCAGTTAAAATACACAGCGGGCTTCTAAATAACAATGATGCGTCAGCTGTACGCCGTAACGGCGCTTTGCTGCTGCGCGACCACCATCAGTTGCGCACGGGCTGAGTATACTGTGTGGATGCCTACTCCTACGCAGACTCGAACCAGTGACCTTATGATTGCAAGCCAGGCATGCAGACCAATTGGCCACCGGCCGAAATTCTAGCTAATTACCAACTGACACATTTCGAGTGTATAGAATATCCCTGCTCAGACTGGATCGTTAGAACTGCAACAATTTTACTGTGACTGCGCGAGTCGGAGTGTGTGCAGTAACGAGGATCTACACAACTTATTGCAACGTACTATTAACTAAACCGATTTCTATAAAACTTTGCAGTGTCTCCAAGTTGCTCTTCTCCAAACATTGCATTTGTTGCCAAGTTAATGTGAAAGTAGTCCCAGATGCGTACTATCTTCAGCTTGGATACGACATCCCATTTTGTTAAAAGAAAAGGATTATTATCTGGTGATTTGAGGAATAATATTGATATGTAAACAAAATAACTAGTTTTAAACTATCTGTAGGAGAAATACATCAAGTAGAGTCAATAATGTACCTTCTATAGTCCTGAATAGTGAATATTCAGTTGTGCGTTGGTATATGATTGTGAGCAAGCTTGTATATGTCACCCAAGCCATAGAAGCACAAGTTTGTCAACCGCTAAGTAGCAAGTTGGTAGCATTTGCAATGGTGATGATTCCGCTTTTCAAAGGTTAAGTAAAAATTCGAAGAACAGTTAGAAACAAGCTTTAAGTTGAGTTAATGAAGGAATCCGACAAAGTTGACAGATGACGATTTCAATGAATTGATGTAATTGGAAATGTGAGTCTTTAACTGTTTGGCACCGTTTTATTGCTCTATTCCCAAAAACTTTAGAGTTGCTATATGAAGCTAGTTCACTGTAAGTCGGCTCAGTCTGTTATATATAAAGGATATTATTGTTCTTGTATGAGTACCTGAACCTAAACACTTTCATCTGGTAGGAAACTACATGAATCATTTCTACATTGGGTGTGGGCAGAAAACTCACATGTGTCTTGATCAGCCCTGCTGAGTAAACCAAGTTCAGCTCGGTTTCGACTAATGGCATGTTCATGCTAGGCAGAAAGTAGAAAAGCAACTTGGAGGAAAAGGCACGATAAATAACGACAAAAAGCCAGTAAAAAGCGCTTAAATAATGTACCTAAAGGCATAGGTTGCTAACAGATTGACTCCATGAATACCGGGAGATTGATTCTGGAAACTTACGACATAATCAAAGTAATCTTTAAATTTATCTCGTGTTAGATGGTTTAATTTTGGGACCCAGAAGTTACGTGTTGGCACGTAGCTCAACAATATCTGCTAAGATTGTGGTAATAATTACTCTGCCAAAAAGTACTACTCACTGTAAATTTGGTTGACAAAGGTTCCGTTGTCCTTGGTTTGTAACTTCACGGGATTTCACAAATCAACTATAAACGTTATGATTTAATTTGAACCATGCTTTTTCATAAGTATAAACGCCAGAATGCAAAATCAGTAACTATTTTTACTCAAGGTTTGTGTTTCCCAAAGAGTGAATCGTTGGGTTTAAGAAGACGGAAACAGGTAACATATTTAATTTGGAGTGAAATGTATTGCCTGGCGGTGCTAATAACTACATAATTGTAACCCGTACGTAGTACCCAGAATGACACAATCACACCAGTAAAAATGTTTTTAACCAGAGCCATGTCCTTAAACCGGGCTGCTTTTGGCATTTAAGATATTAATGTGTATGTATTTTCTTCCCGCGAGTCAACGACAAAGCGATTCTATTTTTATAAGTGGTTAGTTGAATACAAATCGGTCAAACGTAATACGAATTTGTCACCTAAAACGGCTTTAGTTCACGAGGCCGTTTTTTGATTTGGAACTCAGTGCTAATAAAAGCATACCACAAATTCCTTTATCATCATTAAATAATGCAGTCTGAAAACTAGGAGGTACAGTTTCCAAATATGTTAAAAATTCCTCTAAAAATTGCTTGTTCAGTTTTTATCCAACTGGCTTTTACTTAACTATTCGTTCTATCACAATTACTTTGATAAAAAAAATCTGCGATCTTACTTGACAGATGATGTAATGTAGCCAAACATTTCATTTAAGAAAAATCAACTATCCGTCCGTCTAGCAATGACATGTCGCAATATGCAGGAATAGTTGATAGCACCGTATGAAAGAACTATCTAAAAGACTAAAACAAATACAAAAGAACAGCATTATTGGTAATATTCGAAGATGAATTCCCACCTTCACCGTAAACCATATTCCATCGGCTACATCTTGCATCATCATCGTCATCATTATACACGTTAGCTGAAGGTGGAAAACACCTCAGCTATTGTGTCGCAATACAAAAGACAAGAAAAGGAAAACAAACGGTGGCGCGCCCGCTTAGTCCCCAGTAACGGATGGACATCGTTCCGGAGAGCTAACAGCTGGCTGCCGTAAAAGAGAGTCACATTATGCCTAACAAGTGAGATCGTGATTGGAGGGGATGCTAATCAGGAGGGGGATGGACAAAGGAACTCACAACACAAACGCCGTTGGGGCCGGCTCCAAGCCATATCACCAAGTGTGTCCAACCAAACGTGTTAACCGTTCTTAGGACCCCAACCAGGCAGTCGGGATGCACCAACCGACGCCAACTTCGAAGTGAGGGTTTTCATTTCTCGCGACCAAGTCATCACTTGGCCTCCCCTCCTCCTCTTCCAACCGCACCCACAACGCGCAAACAATGCACGTCGCGGAAGTCGGTGTGCTGGCATGCGCAACACGTGGCCCAGCCATCGGAGCCTGGTGTGTGATATAATGGTGATGAGCGGTTCACTCGCTCCTCCTGCACCAAATACGCGACGTCGAACACGCTCATTGCTCACGCGGTGCTCCCACCAGACATGAGCTAAGCTGCGAAGGCAGCGATGATCCAATATAACGAGCCTCTTTATGTCTGTCGACCTGATGGGCCAGGTTTCACAGTCATATAGGAGAGTTGAACGGAAGGCTGCGTTGTAAACTCTGCCCTTCATGGCGGGAGTAATGTTGCGTCTGCCCCACAGGTGGCGGAGATTGGCAAAAGCACCTCGAGCTTTTGCTATACGGTTCGTAACCTCATCTTCAATCCTACGGGTGATAATATAGCTGCCCAGGTACTTGAATTGCGGCTTGTTACCAACAATTTTTAGTCATTTTACTTGAAGGCGCAAGCACTGATCAGCCCTCTTTATCTTGATACTTCGATATGCTCTTTCACCCCATTTCTCTCCATTTACGACATAAAGGTGGCGTGAGTCAACCTACGTCGGCCTGTCATTCCTTAATAACTGAGTCAGTTCACACAATGCAGGCATGGATGTCAGATGTACCCAAAGATACACGACTGTCCATTTTGTCTACATTTATTCTTTCAGCCTCCATATATGCAATAGTGTGTCCTTCTGATGCAGATGCAGTGCTTTTATCTTATTGAGAGTTCGGTCTCCTGTACACCTATTGTGAACTTCACTTCGTTCATACAAAAATGCGACCGCATTTAAAGCATCATAAGGTGTAAAAGGTATATATAGCAAGCAAAAAGAATGTACACATAACTTTCGTTCTGTAAACAATAAGCGAATGGTTACAAAAGACAAGTATTTCCGTAACCCTGAACTAAGCATTCTTTTACATGGAGCAAACGGAAAAGCGTCAGTTTTTGGCTAATTATGGTGTGGAAATTTAGTTTTGCTCTCACAAAAGCTGAACAAGCGAAATTTGTAGTTCCCTGCTTTTCCTGACGTAAATTACTTAACTGGTCGTTTTGTAGCGCCCTAAAAGATAACTTCTATCTTTCATGTACAATTTAATTGTTGACCGATGTTACATTACTCCTTTTTCTTTTAATCTTACAACCGGCTCGTCACTCGACCATCTTGTAAGTTCCCGCGCTCACGTGCTTCGCTTCATCCGTCCGCTTCCTATTGTAGCCCATCGAATACAATCCGCTGTGTCCGACTCCCATTGCCTTCTGATTTCTGCACTTCCTTTCGCGCACCGTCTCGGACTAGTATTAACTAGTCCTACAGTTTCAGAAACATATTAAGAGATAAATGAAGTAGTGTCATAAGTTTCAGTCGTTATAATCAAGCAGCTCCGTGCAAAAATAGTAAGTGGTAGTATATGCGTTTCAAAGATCGGGCTTCTCCTTATGCAGTTTAGTGTGCAATGCCATGTAGGCCTTTTATGCCAGCTGTACACTTGTTGATATGGCTACGGGTCGACATCAGTGGCGTTCGTGCTGAGTTTCTTTGTCCATCCCCCTTCTGATTAGCATCCCCTCCAATCCCGATCTCATCTTCAATCCCACTGGTGCTAATATAGCTGCCCAGGTACTTGAATTCCTGAGCGACTTCTAGCAGATCACCACCAAGCGTTAGCGCAGGGTTGGCTTGCTGTCAACCTTGGAGAAGTACTTTGCATTTCGATGGAGCAAAGCATAGCCCAAAACGATTGACAGCCAGTGTTAATCGGTCCAGTGCTGCTTGGCATGTTTGAGTGTGAACAGACCATACATGAGCCTTCTAAACCTTCTTAACCCTTCCAATAACTACATGTTTTCTCCATTTGGTTGTTGTTAACTATGTGTTGTGACACTTCCAACTGTACATTGGCCAAGTGTTGAATACTAATAGTGACGAAGGTTAGTGATCGCATCGCGCTGCGCGGGACCCTAGCCAACATCAAATGAACTTTGGTCGCCAGTGTCTGACCAATTTCATTGCTCATGGAAAGATGCCAACACGGCAACATGCCCACACAGGAACACACTGGCATAAAACATTTGTAGCAGTCTGGTGAGCTCCCCAGTTTTCATGAATACAATGTGTAAAATGGCAATCAAACTTACTTATTGGTGAGTGCACGCTCGTCTTTTGCACACAATGGTAGGACATCACTAATGCATATCAAATGCATCCACCATGTAGGCTTCGGTACACTTTTTGAGTTGGCTGCACCGTACTCATCAGCACCGCCATGTTTTCTAGACATGTCAACCACTGGGACCAGTTTTAAGAGGGTAGCTCTCCTTGTGCCGTAACAGAGAAGAGCTTCTCTTTTGTAGATTCAAGCGAATAATCCCGAGAATGATGGCCCGATGGTTCTCAGGGCGACAAGCGGTGTGCTACTTACCCCGGAATATTTTCTTCCCTACAAGGACCCATGGTTCTATAGTTCACTGGAAAGACATTTCTCTCAAAGACTAACCAGAGTGAATACACACCTAGGATCCATCGATTGTTCATGCGGACACTAAGCTCCAGCGCTTCAGTAATGTGAGTCAAACGTCACCCTAATAGGTCATCCATTGATTCATTCAGATCATACGGATTTCAGCTAAACAGTAAGTGGAACTTCTCAAGAGCTTCAGATGCTTTAGAATTTCCGCGATGGCATTAATCTCAGTATTTTCGCCATACGCAAAAGTGGTTGGATATGACAATATAAATCGCCTTTGATTCCCTCCAAAGTGTACTCCGTGGGAACCTAGACAACAGCAATGAAAATGTACATGTTCTCCATACGGTACTTTTTCACCCCAATAGAGGTTCGAGATCCAACCGCACTATGCGGCTGTTCACTAGGACACTTGCATGACTAATGATTAACATTAACAGTGAGTTGAAGTCGTTTGATTGAACAGAAAAACACGCTCGTAGTCAGACTTCAACTACGCGCGCAGCTATTCTTCCTCCCCTAGTCAGCACGGTTCACCGTTGTGGTTATATAGCAGGACACACACAATAAAACCGACCTTTCAGGATTCCGTTCATCTGGACCGATGTTTGGACCTGTTGCTATAAAATACGCACGTGAAAAACGCTCATTTTTACATTAATGTATCACGTAACGCATTGCTAATGATACATTCATGTTGCAGTAAGTGGGGATATCCTATCAACCTTCTCCATTATACAGTAAGTGTATAGAATTTTATTGTACCCGTAATGCTTACCGATCTTCGCAATTAATCGACTCGTAGTTTGTATGTCGGCTGTGCCAATAATGTTTATTATTGCAAGTTTGCCAGGTTTTG